AAAAGAAAAGTTATATTTTACAGATCAATATAACTAGTTATTTCCTAAACCACATTAAACACACATTTTAAATAGGTCTGTATTTTTCAGAAAATGTGTTTAATTTGTTCTATAATATTTGAACCAAAAAATTGATTATATTTTTCTCACCATAGGTATTTAAAAAAATTCTTTTCAGAAATAAACTGAATTTACATTACTAAACCATATTTTAAACATCTGTGTAAAATAAATTTTTAAAACTTTAATTGGCAGGAGATTCCATTGATTAAATCAAATGAAATCGACCTACTTTTAATTGGACGTTCAAGCAATGATAAGAGTGCTACTGGAAACGCTATTTTAAGAAAATTTGTCTTTCAAACTGCAGCAGAGACATCTTCGAATGCCTCTATTTCTGCAAAGGGCAGTTCAAAATACAAAGACTTAATAATTACTGTGGTAGATGCTTGTGGTGTTGATACGAATGGCAAGAGCAAGCTAGAAGTCATGGAATTATCCCTGAAATCGATCAAAGAAGCCTTAGAGCTCTGTGAATACAGTTTTACAGCACTGCTCATTGTCATCAAATATGGTGCAAGATTTACTCAGACGAGAAAGAAACTATTAAAATGATTCGTGGCGTCCTCGGCAATGAAGTCATTCAGAAATGTGTGTTGTTACTCATGGGGATAACTTTAAGTATGAGATGGCAGAAGAAGAAAATGAGGAAAATATCATGACATTTGAGGATTGGTGCCGTGCACAAGAAGGAGAAATAGGAGAACTATTTAAGGAATGCAGCTTCAGGTGTGTCTTGTTCAACAACAGAACCAAAGACGAAACCAAACGAGAGGATCAACTTGACAAACTGATTTCATTAATCAGACACAATGAAAAATACACAAGAGATCAGTTTCTGAAAGCCGACGAAGGTCTGTCGAAAATGACCCAGGAACTCTTCCTCCCTGAAGTAATACAAAACACTAATAAAATTGTCAACGACATGCGATCTAAAATGGTGACCATGAAGTTCAGTTTTGATTCTATCGATTTCTTTGAAATGGCGAATGAGATGCTCGGAGAACTAAATCTATACAAGGAATTTATTCTTTTTGCGTGTTGGGATGAGTCAGCGAAATCAAATATACTCGGTGTTATTGAACCAATGGAACTGGAGTTGAACTCAAAAATGAAGTTGTATGACGCCAACAAAGCTGACAGACTACCATTACTAAAGGGGAAATCTTTCGACCAGAATTATTTCAGGATTAATAAACAAGATGTACCAATGACTGGAGATTCTATTAAAGGGGTGAAGGTTTACTCGCAGTTAGAGATTAATGAAAAGGAAAAGGCTATTAAAATATTATTGGACATTTTAAAATATTGCCCGAGGAATTTAGCGAAGAAAGAAGATTTTCCATTTGGGTTTAATCATCAGATTAAACAACTTAAAGATAATTATTATGAATTTTTATCATCGCAGTGTGGGAAAAGAATGCTTCGAGAAATAATACATTTTCAAATTGAAATTCAACCAACAATAAAATCACCGAAATGGGAAATTACAGATACAGTTTTAAACTCCTTTAAACAAACATTATCCTTTTTTAAGTTTAAATAATGGGCTACGTTCAAATTTTTGTAGAAAAGAGCAACTTGCCCGTGGTTGCCGCCTACTTTTACCACTCTGGGTGGGCTCAAACATCATGTTTGCTGTTTCTAATCTTGATTCAAGCAAGCTGAGTAGTTTATTTAAAACAGACCCAAAAATAGTCTTTTAAAGTAAAATGTAAACTTTTGCTCTGAATAATGTCTCCCCTATCAATTCACGGTGACGTCAGCCGCTCCATATTGACTTAGCCAAACCATGTGAACCACAAATGATATGAAAAAAGAAACGATATGCACCAACCCATTATGCTCTTCTCACTCCGAAAATAATTATTTTCCTTCATGATCTAGCCCCATACTATTTAAATAGTAATTTCATGCATAAATAAGCCATTCCTGGAGACACGTAAAATTTCAATAAAAACAGCTCCAAAAAAAAAACCAAAAAAAACACACTATAGGACCGAAATAAATGAACACACATAAATAGATTTAGGCAGCTGTTTAATGCGCGGTTTAAAGTATCATTCAAAGTGTTTTATTTATTAATTTTTTTAAGAATACAAAGATCAGATAAGCTAACAAGAGCAGCTAAAAGCAATGGTAATTGTTTTTTTTGTTGTTTTTTTTGTTTTTTTTTAAATCCAAAATAGTATTCATCAATCATAAAACAAGGGATAATTTTTTTTTTTATAAATTTCAAAATTGTTCTAAAATTCTGCTGTCTGCAATTTAGCACTTGCACAATTTTAAACCCATTTTACGATTGCAAACAGGGTTCATGGTATCCAGTTGAAGAAATAATGTTAAAGAAACCTATACAATAATTCGAGGTTTATTATATACTTTTAATTTAATAATAGTTATAATACAAAATAACTTAATGAAAAATAAATGATACAATCTCTAAATGTTGAATTAGAGAAAGCTCCGAAGCTTGTTATTTTCAAGTCGGGAAGGGAGTTTTTCCTTAATAAAAACTCTCACCCTTTACCTAATACGACACATCGGGCATTCCCGTGTTACTGGGAGTAAAGCATAAAACTGTGTAAATCAAACATTTATCGCACTTAATGATTCACTTATTGCCTCATAATAATTCATAACTAATTCCTTCCCAGTATAATTGTGTTGAACTAGCCCAGTGGTCGGCATATCGTGGCTCGCGAGCCGCTTGCGACTCTTTGGCGACTTGAGTGGGCTCGGCCAGTCGGCCAAAAATCGCTTTTTATTCCGAAAAAACATGGTTCTTGACAGGTTCTAAAAAATAAATGAGGCTGTCAAAAATGATTTTAATTGTCCTGCTGCTGAGTTTTGGACTCTTTTGACCAATGAGTTTGCACTAGCCGATTGGGGTTTCAAATACTTGTTTTTAGTATATTCTTTGCATATTGCTAAATAAACTGACGACTTTTTAAAAAAGACTTTATGAAATAAAACTTTTAAGAAATAATTAAGAAAATAAACTCAGGAAAAAAAATGTAGTAAGTTGTTGATTAATATTTTGCAAATGTACAAGAGAACATTTACAATGCTTTCAAAAATTCTTCTATCTTAAATATAGAAATAAATAAATCATATTTGTATTACTGCACGTCTTTAATTTTGAAAAAAAAAAGATTCATGGCTAGTTTATGTTTCACATGTGTATGTCTTGTTTTCTTTTGTAATAAGTATTTAAGTACAAAATCAGTTTTTACTGATGATAAACGTACAATAGTGTGTATGATTATATACTTCATAAAGCAAAAATAAATAAACATTTTATTCACTTAATGTAATCCATTGATTTGACTTCGTGTTTATAACATTACAAATGAGTGAGACTTTGTCGTAGTAAGCTTGTGTTGTTGGCAGGTCACGTTTATGATTAGTTTAAACTTATTGACAGTAAAAGCTTTCATCATGGTGAAAAAGCTATACAATTTTTTACTTCTTTGACATTATTATGTGGAAAAGGCGTTTACGTCATCACTCCCCATGAATGAACTGTAGCTGATCCCCAAGCTCGGAACCGCCTTTGGCGTGTGGCTAATTAAAAATAGTCTCCTTTGACTTTGTTGACAACGAAATACAATATATAGTCTGTATTATTAGAATTCTGTAGAGCAAACCAGACAAATCAGGAAAGGAAAACAATATGACAGCCCATTGGGGTAATGTCTTTGAAACAGGATAAATATATATTTAGCGACAGGAAGGGAGAGAGAAATGCATAAGATTATCATAGAGATTTTTCTATACGAGACAGAGATTTGTTTACTAACATTTTGATGTGTGTGTGTTTATTCCTTTTTCGTCATTGTACATTTTACAACATTGTATCTTCTTAAAAATTGTAAAGGTACAAGCCAATCATTATACTGTTATTAAACAGTTATTATTAATTTCTAAGAGAATGCCATCGGGGAAGATTTATTTGTAATGTTATTATATTTACTATTTATAATTGAGTAATTATACATGAAATAAAGGTTTTTTTTTAAATTGTAAAAGAATATTTTATTGAATTTTAATAGAATAATCATATAATTGATAGAAATATAGAATATCTATCATAAAAATGCCTAGATCCATATAATTGATGAGAAATTCTTTTAAAAATGTGGTAAAGTTTTCATATAAACATAAAAAAAATTACTACAAAATGCTTGACATTTTCAAAATGAACATTATCAATTTAGAAAAAAAAAGTAACTTTACAAGATAAAGAATTAATGATAAGAGATCAGATTGATTTGTATACTTCTAGAAGCTTGTTATCTCTGTTGTTTTGAAATCTTGTTTTAAATTATATATATTTTTTTAAAATTATATATATATATATATATATATCTATATATATATATTTATATATACATATATATATAATTTTTTTACATTTCTTTATTATTTTGTGTGAGTGTTGTGAACTTAATAATTGGTAAGTATAAAGAAGCTTTCATATTAAAAGTCTACAAGTGCATTCAATGGAAAATAAATATAATGAACATGTCACAAAGCTTCTGATAATATTTCAAAACATAAAATTCTGCACATTTACTAAAAAAAATAAAGCATATGAGCACACAACTTTATATTCGAAACGATTAATATTAAATGACAACATTAGGTGTATTTAAAAAAACAACTCATTAATTTGTTTTTCATAACGTTATTACAATAGTATAGTACATGAGAAATGTTAATTGCCTTTTAAATATATGACAGCATCTTTGCTTTTTTTTTTTTTAGAATTTTCAAAAATATAAATCTTTATACAGGCCAACTTTGTAGTTGATTGAAACATTTGTTTTTCAATTAGACTTTGTATTTTAGTCCATCTATAAAAAAAAAATAGTATAGTACATGAGAAATGTTAATTGCCTTTTAAATATATGACAGCATCTTTGCTTTTTTTTTTTTTTAGAATTTTCAAAAATATAAATCTTTATACAGGCCAACTTTGTAGTTGATTGAAACATTTGTTTTTCAATTAGACTTTGTATTTTAGTCCATCTATAAAAAAAAATAAATGCAAAAAAGGACAAATAAATCTGTATTCTCATATAAACATAGTGATACAGCAGCGCTTATTGGTCAACATTTCTGTGGCGTTTCCTAAGAGGCCACGTGAAAAAACCGACGATTGACGCGAGAAGACCATCGTCATTCTTTTGCTTGGCTGCCCGATATTTTGTCTCTATATCTTCCAACTGTTTTCTTTGTTTTTTACGCTCCTCGTCTAAGGCTTTCTGATATTGCATCTCTCGGATATCCCTCTCTTTGCTCATTTTCTCGCTCAAGGCTTTCCATTTCTTTTCCTCTTCCTCTAGGAGTTGTTTCTTACGTTCACCCTCTATCTTTTCTTCGTTAAGACGACGCTCAAAATCTTCTCTCTGTCGTTGCAGTTCTTCTGCGAAAAGTCTGCTTCTCTCCTCCTCATTCTTTTTCATCTTCTCACTTTCTTGGAAAAGCCTTTCTGAAATCTTAATTTCAATAACTAGATTATCCTGAATGTTTTTTACTGTTTCTATGATATCGTGGAGAGCGCCAGTTTCTTTGTCTTGTTCACGAACGTCTTCAATCAAAACTTTCGCTCGACTGCTTAGAATATCAAGATGAGATTTTCGATCTTCGGGTTCAGCACTTTCTTGTATCCACCGCATTTTCTGTATAATCAAACTAATTTCATTCATTGTTTCCTCACGTACCAGTGGTTCCTTGGCTTCGATCATGAACTTCTCTTGAGCTTCTCTGGCCTTCTGGAAATTCACATCGGTGTAACGAAGATCTCTCCATCGCAAGTCGTCCACCATTTCAATAAGAGCTAAGAGTTGCTGCTCTTTCTTCGCTTCATCTTTCGTCCTGTTGTCAAATAAAACGATTCTCCTTCGACATTCTGCCAGCAGTTCCTTAAAGACACCAGTTTGCTCATCACACCACTCGACGAATGTGATTTTGTGTTCTTCACTTTCGAAATTGTCCCCACCGGTGACCACTAAAATACAAAATTGTTGAACAAATGTATCGCCAAAAATTCGCTTTAAAAATGTGATGGTATCCTGATCCTCTGCCGTGAACCTTCCTCCATATTTGGTGACCAGGAGGAACGCGTGATACCCGCGCGGATTGGCTGAAATGGCGAACTCCATGGCTGTCATCACGTGATTCAGCGACCGCTGATCGTTCAAGCGGGTATCTCCTACGCCGGGGCAATCAACAACTTTAATGATCCTACCATGGTAATCTCTCACTTCATAAGCGACTTTATGCGTCACAGAGTTTTGTGAGCTGCTACTGAGAAAAGCATTTCTTCCAAGTATTGCGTTTCCCAGAGCACTTTTTCCATATCCCGTTTTTCCAATGATCAGGAGATCAATATCTTTGGAGAGCACCATTGCGTACCTGATAATAAAATTTAAAATGTTAAAATTATACTTATCTGAATCAATTGTTTTCTTTTTGTTCCTTTAAAAACCGAAACAAGAAATTCATATATGTTGAGCGTTACATTCAAACCATTGCCCTCATCTGTTAAGGTTAACCAGCATTTTAAAATAACAACACATTCTAATTAAAAACACTATAAAATAAATAAGGGTTCGACTTTAAAGTTTTATAAAAAATATTTTTAAATGTTTCATTGATAAAAGGCGCATTTCATTAAGTTAAAATGGAAAAATATGCAAAAAATATTTTTGTATCCTTGTCCAGGTCAAGGTTAAGATCTGAGACACAAGTCCCTTTCATTCTCATATATACTTAAATTCAGTTCACCTCAATTATTAGGTCGTTTTTTTTTTGTTTTTTTTGTGTTGTTTTGTGTTAAACTTATTAACATTTAAAAATTAATATGCAATAAGATTAACACTTACAAGGAATTTAATTTAATTGTTTAAAGGGAATTCCCTAGAGGAGACTAGCCACAGCGGGAGACGTCCTATAAGAAAAGGGAGGGGTGATACACAAAGGGCAAAAAGCAAATTTGACATGGCTCGAGTGGATTTCATAACCAATCTAAGGGACATACCGAAACTGAGTTCCAACAGAAAGATTGATTCCAGAACAGGATGTCAAAAAAACAAAAAAACAAACAAAAACAGAAAGACACAAGAAAAGATTGCTACCAAACAGAGTGCCACTCGAACAGAATGCCACTCAAACAGATTGCTACCAAACAGAGTGCCTCTAGAAGAGATTGCTACCAAACAGAGTGCAACTAGAGCAGATTGCTACCAAAACAGAGTGCCACAAGAACAGATGGCTACTAAAGCAGAATGACACAAGACCAGCGTGCCACAAGAACTACAAAAGCAGAGTGGTACCAGGCCAGAGTGCCACTAGATCAGAGTTGCTATTAGAAAAGAGTGCCACAAGAACAGAGTGAGGGTGGGAGGAGGGAGTGGCACCTGAGTTTCCCGCACCGGTTGACACCAACCCAGTACCGCCTCTGAGTGTTTAAATTTTTAGGTCAATTTTTTATAATTAATTAATCACGCCGCCATTTTAAATATAGGGCACAAAGTAAGCCAAGGCTTTTCTTTTCAATCGCATTTTAAATGGTAAAAAAACGCAAATATATCTAAAAAATTTTCTAAAAATAATGGAAATAAATTTCACATCTTACCTGTATTTTCAACACAACATATTTATAATTCTTGTTTGTTTTCCAACTCATCAAATATTGCGTTACAATTACTGTGTAGTGGGGCCACAGTCCCGTCACTGGAGCCAGCTGTGATATTCTCAAACATAAGGCTCCAGGATTTAATTTTTCATGAAAAATGTTTCACGTGTCACCGTTATCACCAATACTCCCAACTGCCCCCGCACCCCCCCCCCCTTTTTCAGTGCACCAAAGATACCTCTCGTTTGACGCTCGGGCGTATAACAGACCTGTGATGTCGAATCAGCGGCGTCACCGTTACAACTAATATAGCTTATTTGTAATAATAATTAGAATCCGCTTTTATATATATATATTCTTAAATGTGGACGTAATGAATATTTTTTTAAAATTCTGTCATGGTAGGTCTTGAAAAAAATCAATATGCCCTTTGGATAATAGTTTTTTTTTTTTTTT